TCTCTCTCTCTCTCTCTCTCTCTCTCTCTCTCTCTCTCTCTCTCTCTCTCTCTCTCTCTCTCTCTCTCCTGTATTAAATACGAAAAGTATAATAAAATGTGAAGAGCACAATTCTCGCGAAATAATTCTCTGCGTGTTTAAGTATCTGTAAAAGTATTTATTTTTAAAATAATGTATACCGCATTAAGTAAAACGAGATGCTTTTACTGGGAAATAAAGTTGATTACATAAATTGAAAATCTGGTAGATTCAATCATGTCTGTTGGAAAAGAAACTTATCAAAATTCGTTTAGAAATTATCAGATGATTGTAACTAATTCTTTCGTGTTAAATATACTAGAATTTCTTGATATAATAAAACTAAATTTATTTTTATTTAGGTCAGTACTAACTTTTTGAAAAAAAGTTTAAGGAATAATTAGAAATTTTTTTATAAATCCAACCGAAAATATTAACCAAATTCTTATAATTAAGTCATTTTAATTGTAAAATTTAAGTCCAATCATGATAATCAGACCTTCTGTTAGTCTCATCAAAATACATTTTATTATGTATGTCTTATTAGTATATGTATAATCAAAATTTTTCTTAGTGAAGTAGTACTTCTGGTAACATTGATTCTTATTATGACTGTGAAATATAATTATTGTTACTTATTTGGCTTACTTCGAAGTTAATAGATACGGTTTTGTCGTGCGTTTCTAACTGAACTTTGCGAACGTTTGTCTATGCAAAAGAAAATGCAACTCAATCTATTCGTTGTACTCGTTCAAGTAATTAATCAAATAATTCTCCGTTAAAAGTGAATTTTTAAATGATGCTCGAAACCCATGTAATTAGACCCTGGCCCAATAGAACATATTTAACAAGAGCTTATCCGCGCGAGGTAGTAAAAAAGTTTCGGTTAAAAAAGCTCCGTTAAATCTGGCGGCTAAAGATATAGAGGTATTACGGAGACGAGAAGGACTCGTTTAATTTATCACCTACTTAAAATCCAACGATCTCACGAATAGAACACGCCTTTTTTTAACTCTGGTTTCAACTTGCTTTCTCCCTTGCGCTGTTTCCTCCCACCTTCTCTCTCTCTCTCTCTCTCTCTCTCTCTCTCT